TCCAAACCCTGAGTTCTCCTGTTCAACACAAAGTAAGATATTCTGAAGATATGTTGGAACAAAGCGTGATTAACTTCTGTTGTATTTTTATTCCCACATCGATGTGAATGGCTGCTTTTTTCAAACATTCTTCAGAATATCTCCTTTTCAACAGAAGAAAGAAATTCATAAAAGCTTAGAACCATTTCATTGTGAGCAGATGGTGAAAAGTTGTCATTTTTGGGGTGAACTATCCCTTAAATAGGATTAAATAGTCTATTAAAACAGTTTATAATACCGTTTAATATGGGGGAATATTTTTGCATGACAAAAAAAAATCTACCTTTTGTATTTTTTGTTCAGTTTGACCCAGAGTATCATATGAAAAAATAATATTGTTAAAAGAAAAAATTGGTCACATAGTTGCTCAGTGGTTAGCACTGTTGCCTCACAGCAAGTAGGTCGCTGGTTTGAGCCCTGACTGGGCCGGTTGGCATTTCTGTGTGGAGTTTGCATGTTCTCCCCGTGTTGGCGTGGGTTTCCTCCGGGTGCTCCAGTTTCCCCCACAGTCCAAATACATGAGCTATTGATGAATTGAATAAACAAAAATGGCCATAGTGTATGTGTGTGAATGCGTTCCCAGTATTAGGTTGCAGCTGGAAGGGCATCCGCTGTGTGAAACATATGCTGGATAAGTTGGCAGTTCAAAGGACTAAGCTGAAGGAAAATGAATAAATAAAGCAAAAAATATTTTAACAAAGTAGAAAAATCAAGAAAACCATAAAAATAGAGAATTTAGTTTAACAAAGCTGTTTTGTTTAAATGCACCAAAATCTATTGTCCATATTTATTGAGATATAATTATTAAAAAGGGGACATTTAATTCAATCATTATTCATTGTTGTATTCATTTATGCTGAGCATTGTATATCAGTACAAATCAAAATGCTAATTAAAATATTGTGGAGATAAAAGCTAAACCACAAATTTACCTAATTACTGCGCCACCTATAGCCCAACAAGAGTGTGTGCTTGTAGTCTGATAAGTAGTGAGAGAGATTCGGGACCATTCTGTTAAATTTGGTGGTTCTAAAACTTACAGTTTTCACAGGCCAGCCCATTACAATTAAAATAAGAGTAATATGATGGAAAAAAAAGAAAATCAGAATGTGTTGCTCAAATCCCTAAAACACTCTAAAAATGACAAAATTTCAAATAAATGTAATATATTTAGTAATTTTTGCGTTTGTTAAAATATTAATTCATTGTATTTTCAAAACTTTTCATAGTGCTTTTATTATTAACCCAATTAGTAGAGAGACGTGGGCTCAAACACAGCAAACAAACAACTAAATGAATAAGTAAATACATTAGCGAACACACACACACACACACACACACTCTTTTCATAATCACAACACGCCCTCCTTTTTTGATGTTATTGCGTTTCTCCATTTTCTCCCAGACTATTAGGGGCCCGTCCCTTTGATCTGAGCCCACTTGATTTGCGTGCCTTTTTTTTTGATGAGTCATAAGGAAGACAAAAGCGTGATCAAAGTCAAGGCTTTCACAGTCTGCCTCTGTCCGGCCTCTCTCCAGTTATTTACCCTGTACACTTGCACAAAGAATGCACTCTCCGCTGGCTTTGAAGTCCACTTGCTGGGGTCTAGTGACATTAAAGTTCGATCAGGCCTGACCCAGAATGCCGCGGTGCGATAAGCCCGGCCCTCGGCCAGCGGGAATGCCATCTGATATGGCTGCAGGGTCACACGCGAGTGGCCGCTCAACGCTCCGCCGCTCCTGTTGGGTGACTTTGGGGATTTCGACATGTGGGAGGCCCAAAACATGAGCTGGTAAAATCAGCACAGGTAAGAATAGAAGTGTTCTGTACTGTACAGTAGCGGAGATGGTAATTAAATGGATGAAAATTCATTTACTCTCCCTTCACTTGTTTCAAAGCTGTATTTCATCTGTTAAGCACAAAAGAAGATATTTTGAAAAATGCAGGAAATCTGTAACCATTGACATCTAATGTATAATTTTCCTACACTTTTGTGTTTATTTTCTGTTCATATATGGTTGTGAGTTGCTTTATGGGATGTTGATCTCCGCTCTGTCGACTTTTGATGTTCAACATTCAACTCTACAGTTTAACAAAGTGACTTTTATTGACATTTTAGTCATTTTAAGCAATATAATGTATAGAATATATAGAATAATGTAAGAAATAATACATAGAGAAATAAGTCTGTGTAAAAGTACTTATTACACATTTTTTGTAGCATAATATACAACACCAACTCAGATAATCACTTTAAACGATTAAAAATGTTAATAAAAATAATTTTTCCTGACTTTACAAAGTTAAAAGATTTTTGGAAGATCAATGCATCCCATAATGCAATTCAAAAGCATAAATAAATAGGAGAAAACTGCTAATTTGTAGATAATGTTTTACTGTGTACAATGGATGTCAATGGTTACAGGTTTTCAGCATTCAGCAATTTTATGTTATAGCCTTATTAAAAAACTGAGTGATCAGGGGAGAAGGGCCTTAGTCAGGGAGGTGATCAATACCCCGATGCTCATTCTGTCTGAGCTCCAGCGTTTTTCTGTGGAGAGAGGAGAAGCTTACAGAAGGACAATCATCTGTGCAGCAATCCACCAATCAGGTCTGTATGGTACAGTGGCCAGACGGAAGCCACTCCTTGCCTGGAATTTTCCAAAAGGCATCTGAAGGACTCTCAGATCATAAGAAACTAAACTCCTTGATCTGATGAGACTTAAATTGAACGCATTGCAGTGAATGCCAGGCGAGGAATTTGAAGAAAACCAGGCAGCGCTCATCACCAGGCTAATATATATATATATACAGACCATAAATTACAGTGCTTGCCGAGCATATATAATAGAAATATTAATAAATATTTGATTTACATTTAAATATTAATAAAATAAAATAGAATGATAGGACTTTCAATTAAAATAATTTAATTATTAATATTAAAATTATTTTTAAATAATTTTATTACTATGAATATTAATAAAACTAAATTATGCAGCATATTTAGCTATTTTATAAATAACAATTTAAAAGAAATCTTAATATAAGGATATATAACTAAATAAATAAAGAAATTAAAAATAAACAAATAAGTAAATATTGGTCTTTCTGATGACAATACATAATTGAAAATTTCATATATATTTGATATACATTAAATTATTAATATAATATAATATAATATAATATAATATAATATAATATAATATAATATAATATAATATAATATAATATAATATAATATAATATTATTTCCCAAATTTCAACATTTTGCTTGAAATTCTGAGTTTATTTCTCAGAATTTCAACTTTTTCCCTGAAATGTTTGCTTCAACTTTTGAATCCATCTATCTATCTCATAATTATGATTTTAGAAATCTGATATTTTGTCTTGCAAATTCATGTTTATATCTTACAAATCTAACTGTATATCTCATACTTGTGACTTTTTCTTGGAGTTAAGACTTTGTTCAGTAAAAAAAAAACTAATTCACAATAATGAAACTAAAAGACAGAATTCTGAAGCAATTCCAAATGCAAAAAAGTTTTTAACTTTTTATTTATTTATTATTTTATTTATTCATTCTGTAATGAAAGCTATTCATAGATAAAAATGTCAAACTACAATAAATATCACTGTCACTACAGTGTAATATTAATGCTCACTTTCTTTTACAGTAAGCAAACTGTACTACAATGGCAAGATAAACACCCTAATTCATTGAGACTAGCATCGCTAGCATACCAGCACAAGCTGTAAATCAGATTATTAGAGGCACTATGTCATCTTAATAAACCCCTCAATGTCATGTCACTCCACCCATGGCTTATTAACCGCTAACAGGATGTATTTCCTTCTGAAACATCAAAAGAAGGCGACAATAAACTCCCAGCTCTGCCAACACAGAAGGAACTGGAACTTTTCAGTGCATCTGGGAAATTTATAGATAGATCTGTTATGGTTTCTATTGGCACTTTTGGCACATGTGTGCGGAACATGCGTCGTTACTGTAAAGAGAAGTTTCTGAACGGAGCACATGCTGTTCTGTGATCAGCGTGCAGAAACTAATCTGCTAAATCTGTGCCAGGTGGACTTGGGAACATGTTTTCAGAAGAGGAAAGTTTTTGGTGCTAATTCATATATTTAGTTAGGACATATTATAGATTTTGTTTTTCTTTTTTACATACACACTATATTAAAGAAAACAAAATAAACTGTTGTATTTTATAATATAATATAATATGATATAATATAATATAATATAATAAATATAATATAATATAATATAATATAATATAATATAATATAATATAATATAATATAATATAATATAATATAATATAATATAATAAAATATAATATAATATAATATAATATAATATAATATATTAAATATAATATAATATAATATAATATAATATACTATAATATAATATAATATAATATAATATAATAGAATATAATATAATATAATATAATATAATATAGTAAATAGAAGAACATGCAAACTCCACACAGAAATGCCAACTGACCCAGCCGAGGTGGGAACCAGCGATCTTCTTGCTGTGAAGCGACAGTGCTATCCACTGCAGCATCGCGCCACCCTCTGAAAGGACACTTGTAAAATAATTGTTTAATGATTTTATTACTATAAATGTTTTAAAAACATTAAAGTATGCATAATATTTACACAGATTTTTATACATAACGGTTAAAAAATTCTTATTATAAGGAAATAAATAAATAAATAATAAAAACAAAATTTACACACCATAAATTATTGTGCTTGCAGAGAATATATAATATAAATATTAATAAATGGTTTATTTACATTCAAATATTAATAGAATAAAATACAATGATAGGACTTTAATTTAGGTCTTTAAATTTAAATAATTAAATTATTAATATTAAAATATTTTTTTCTGAATTTATAACTATGAATATTAATAAAACAAAAATATACATCATATTGAGCTTTTTTATAAACAACAGTTTAAAAGAAATCTTAATATAAGGACATCGAACGAAAGAAAGAAAGAAAGAAAGAAAGAAAGAAAGAAAGAAAGAAAGAAAGAAAGAAAGAAAGAAAGAAAGAAAGAAAGAAAGAAAGAAAGAAAGTGTAAATAAAGAAAGAAATTTTGGTCTTTCCGATGACAATACATAATTGAAACTTTTAAATATATTTGATATCCATTAAATTATTAATATAATATAATATAATATAATATAATATAATATAATATAATATAATATAATATAATATAATATAATATAATATAATATAATATAATATAATATAATATAATATAATATTTACCTTTAATTATGTCAGGTTGTAGAATTAGTGTAAGTCCATAAAAGCAAAAAATGTGTAACGCTGTATTGTGATTTTAGATTAGATTAGATTCAACTTTATTGTCATTAAACATGTACAAGTACAAGGCAAAGAAATGCAGTTTAAGAGTGCAATAGCAGCAGGTGCAGGATAAAGGTATAAGTTATAAAGTGCAGTTATAGAAGAATGGTGATATTTACAGATGGATGTACTATAAACATTATGTACAGGTTGTATTGACTATGAATAGAGATTAACAATAGATGAATATATGTACTATATATGTACTGGTTGCTATTAATAATCAGATGTGTGCAGACAGAAATGAACATAATTACAAATGTTCTGATAGGACTTTAAAATTAAAATAATGTTGAAATCCCTTCTGCTTTTGAGACATCGCTTTTGGTTTGATGATTTAGTGAGATTTACACCGACTCTCTTACCTTCTTTTGTGTCCTTGCTTTCTTCCTCCTCCTGCAGATCAGTTTCAGGCCCAGCTTTTGGCTCCGTGACCTCTTCATCCTCCTCTTCATCTTCTGAAAGAAACCCAGAAGGTCGCGTTCAGTTTCTGTTCTCTGACACCTGCCAAAACTCCAGCGCCTCTCAGTGACCCACACCGAGACCCACAATAATAGCTTACAGACATTCTCTACCCTAGCCATGTAACCATATCAAACCTTCTTGCTGAGGTAATTGTGAAGATTTTATCACGACATACAATATTCTCACTGTGGGTGTTCTTGTTAAAGGTACATTTTCCCAACTGGGGTGTTTAATTGTGAACTGTGCTTAAGGGGTACATTTTTAACCACTTAAGATAAGACTTTTGTGTCTCCCGAATGTGTCTGTAAAGTTTCAGCTTAAAACACCTAAACACCCATCAGATTATTTATTAGACCTTTCAGAATATTGAAAATTTCTGCTCTGAACACAATGTAGCTGTTTTTGTTGCCTGTGCCTTTAATACAAATGGACTAGTTCACCCCGCCCACCATGCCTGTCAGAGTGTGTGAGAGTGTCGCCATCTCCTGCTATGCCAGATAAACAGCACAGTGATAAAGGAAGCAGATCTCACATAACGTTTGTGAGAAATACTACAGTATAAACTTTCCCAATGATTATTTGATGTATTTGTTGTGGAGTTAATTTAAACCTTTCTGCAACGATGAGCCACACACAATGTCGTCACAAAATTCACACAGACACAAACACATAGCACAAGTGTTTAACTTTGCACTGTTTTTACACAGCACATGTGGCGGGATACATGTTAATATGGAAATCTGTTACATTACAAAATAAACCCGATTTAACGTCCAAAAACCGGGATTGAAGTGTCTTATTTTATAATTGTACTGAAATGAGGTTGTGGTGATTATTTGCAGTGATTTTTACAGCAAATTACACCAAAATACTAGGTGTTACTCTACCCTGTGAGCGTTGACAGGTCTTGTGCACACAAAACGAAACAGGTAAAGGAGAGAAGATTTTCCACAAATTAATCGTGTTTGGTTAGTGTCACTAAATATACTTGGGCGGCCGTTGATATACTTGGGCAGCCCATCCAAGTAAAGTCTATGTGCAGGAAGCACAGATACATTTACTGAATATTATTCTGCAAGACCATACAATAAATTCCGATTTCGTAGTCTGCGTCTTTCACCATATCAAAAACTGCAAAAAAGGTTTCATTAAATAACAAATTTTTATATTGTTAAAATTTGGGGACGAGCATTAAAGACAACATTATTGTTGGTGCAATAGCCTAGTGCAGTGGTTCTCAAACTTTTTTCCCCAAGTACCATCTCAGAAATAAATTGTCACTCTAAGTACCACCAGAATGACTAATTTTGAAATGAAGTAGCGTAGTTGGCCAAATTAAGCAGCTACAGCACGAGTCATATACATAGAATTTTTGATCAATTTTGAAATGTGTGTTGCATGTACATATGACATATTCGTAAAACATTTTGAAATCTAAACATTAGCTTGTATGTAGATTGGTAGGGAACCTGTTTTTCTCAGAGGATATCAAGCTGACAAAACATTGCTTCACTCTGATACAAGTTTTATTTATGGAGAAATTAAAAAGCACTGCAGTGATTGGGTGTTCTGTGTTTGTCTGCGTTAACTAGCCTAACAAAATTATTTTCCATAAAAAATATGAGGCTAATTAGTCGGTTCTTGTCACGTGACTCGCGGTGCAGCATTCTGAAAAGTTACGATGTTTTCAACTGTGTATGCCTGGAATACGCAAGTGCGTTGTGCTGCAGTTCTTACTCATTTTGCTAGACTGTAGGTTAAATTTTGGCCCTCAATTGACCTACAGTAGACGTAACAAGAGAATACGGTCATTTTTCAAAATATTTTTTTTTCTAAATTAATGATTGTTCAGACTTGGAACGGAAATAATTAATGATTTTTTGTGCGGCCAGGTACTAATTGATCTATAGACTGGTGCCGGTCTGTGGCCTGAGGGTTGGGGACCACTACTCTAGCGTGTATCATCTCTTCAAGCACCACACACCTCTTTCTCTAGTTCTGCGCCAATTGGATTTATTTTTAGCAGCTGATGACGCACTAAAGTAAACATTTTAAGCACAGCGCTTTGATCGTAGGCGTTAGAGAACAGCCAATGCCGATCACATCTGTGTTATCGTATGCATCAAATGATGAAAATTGTGTTCATTTTTCTTTCATTACTCAGTGATTGCTCCGCGTACCACTAGAAGTAAGCCTGCGTACCACTAGCGTTACACGTAGCACAGTTTGAGAACCACTGGCCTAGTGGTTAGCATGCTGACATATGGTGCAATTGCACTTCAGGGCGTCCTGAGTTTGAATCCTGGCCCGAGGACATTTCCTGTTCCTTCCCCCTCTCTCTCTCCCACTTTGCTTTCTGTCTAAAATTCTACCCTATCCACTTAATAAAAAGGCCAAAAATAAAATTAAAAATGATAATATTGTTATTTTATTTATATTTAAAAAAATCTTAAATCTTGTATTTGATTTCAAGGAGATTTAAAAAGGCATATTTTGAGGTGCTCACAGCAATAACACGCATGTTTATTATCACAGGATACTACGTTGAATATTGGCACATTTCCATACCCGGCTCACAATCGCACTCTGTACTAATCAGACATGCTTTTGTTTTGGATCAACACGGCCTGGTGTGTTTTTTCTTTTGGGCCGACTGGGATTTGCACAGCTGCATTTTCACAACCGTGAGCTCTAAAGAAACAACACAGTCAGTTAAAAAGACACTTCCTTGGGTCCCACAGAACATGTGTGCTACACGTGTGCATGAGTTTATGGATCCAGACGCACAGATACCCCACAGAAACGGCAGCTTTTTGCACTCCATCAGCCCTCCAGTCTCCTGCACCGGGGCCGTGCAGACCCTGAACACTCGGCCCTTCATTAACCCAGTCACCCCAGTCAAAGAGGCAGTGCAGACCTGCCGCTCTCAGACACCTGCTCTGGGCCAGCAGCAGCAGGACATGTGACCCTGACCCAAGATTATTTACAGAAACTAAAAAATCTAAAAGGCTAAAACTACTGTTCAAAAAAACACGATAGAATTTTCCATGAAACTTGTATTTATAAATCTGTAAAAAAAAAAAAAAATGCTACAGTATATCATCTGAAGAATAGTCATATTTATCTGGTGCTGGCAAAAATTTGTTGAGATTAATCACATAATAAAGTTTGGTTTTACACAAAACACTTTACAAAACTATATTCACTATATATTATTAAAAAAACTATCATATACATAAATATTTTATATCTGAATATAAATAAAAATGTTCTCAAAAATATGCATGCCTGTCTGTTTTTATGTATACGTCATTATTATACACAGTACACAACCTTTAATATAGTCAAAACACTTTTGATTAATCCTATATTATACATATTGATATTTATCAGATGATATAACATATTATATGGTTGTTTTTAAAGTATATAATGCAGTAATCATGCATAATAATGCTTGAATTCTAATGCATTAAGAATACAAACCAAAAGATTTCTCACATCAGGTGCAACAGATAAACACATCAGCCAAGAGCATCTTTATATAGAAAATAAAGATTGGTGTTCATAATTTGAATCAGAATATTTATTGTTGTTTTACAAAAAAAATAAATGATGTTCAATATATAATTCTCTAAAAGCACTCTAAAAGCTATTAAACTGAATTCCTTCTAAATAAAATGTTTATTATAAAGTTTTCTTTTGTATGTTGTAGTGCCGTATTATACAATGTCATAGTAATATTTTGATCTCCCGAATGCAATAGAAAAATATTGGGAAATCTCTGTAGACTGATGGCATTTCATGCCGTACAGCCTTATTAATGTTAAAATGTGAGCAAAATCACCTGTATTGTCATCATTTTAGACATTACACTAGAGAATCATTCAAACACTAGCTCTAAAGTGATGTTTGTGAAGTAGCAACGGTTTCAGCTGTTCTGACATCAAATGTGGAAAAAAATGGTGGAAAAACGTAGTTCCTCTTACAAAAGGGTTTTGTGGGGTCTGTGTCTGATTTTCCTTTTTATACACACAATTATGCCATCGAACTATATATATATATATATATAT